TTTTTCACTTTTTTCACTTTTTCACTTTTTTCACTTCACTTCAAATAGAGATCAGTGGAGTTGCAGATGTAGTGCCCCCTAGTGGCTACAAGTTGCACAGTGCTGCTTTAACCCTTAAACTTTCTTGTAAACCTCCAACCTGCATTCTACTGATGAAAAAGGTCAACTGGTGGGTGACCAGGCAGTTAAAGGGTTAAGCAAAATGTTTTGATGGTTTTCATGACTCCTTAAAAATCTGCTGAAATTGTTGTTAAATGTTGTTAAATCTTAGGACTTGGACCTTTTCATTTGCGACTTGGAAGTTTTTGTACTCTGCGTATCGCTGGTGGCCATCAAAGTCTTCCAAGTTGATCCTCACTGAATAATTCCCTGCAAAATGAAAGATAAGTTCAGTTCCCAAACACTTCTAACTGGGTCCCCTTTTTAATTTCCAAGAAACTTTTGCACCCCCACTGCACCACCAGTCAATCCACAACCTTATCAACAGTCACATAAAGAAAGGTCAGCTGCACTAAATGACATATAGAAATAGAATAAACTTCTAATTTTAAAGAGTAATTTTTTTAGGTTTAACTATTTATTTTAGAATTCAACATTGCTTTTAATTAAATAATTAAATAATAATTAAACTACGTACCACCTGCCCCCGTTTTTGGCATTTACTTAATCATATTTAGTTACTTTAACACGATTGTTTCATGTTTGCAGGGTAGGAAATAAAACAATTGTGTTAAAGTAACTAAATATGATTATATGATGGAGTATTAGGGCCAGGCTAGAGATTTTTTTTTCTTCTATTTCGAGAATAAAGTAACACTACAGAATAAAGTTGTAAAATTATGAGAATAAAGTCGTAACATTACGAGAATAAAGTTGTAAAATTATGAAAATAAAGTCGTAAAATTATGAGAATAAAGTCGTAACATTACGAGAATAAAGTTGTAAAATTATGAAAATAAAGTCGTAAAATTATGAGAATAAAGTCGTAACATTACGAGAATAAAGTTGTAAAATTATGAAAATAAAGTCGTAAAATTATGAG